GGGAAGGAGTGCGGCGGGTTTTTCGCCACCCCCAGCGGCAAATTCACCAGTGCTACAAAAGTGGGGGTCTGAAGCTAAAACTGAACGAAATTCTCTTCTCCATCCACCGTCGGGAGTGCAACTTTCCTCATCCCCCACCCCTTCGCTTGGTGGTCGCCACGCGAGAAGTCCCACTCTTGCTCCCGCCCCTCTCGTCGCTACGCTAGGAACCTCACCCTTCCCTCCCCCAGGAGCACATCCTGGAGCCACCTATGCCTTGCACCAATAATCCGAAAATCTTAAACGCGACAACAGCAAAAAATACTTTTTTGAGAACAACATCGCCGTCAAGATGCATGGCAAGCGAATTGAAATAAAATAGTATTTCATCGTTTGGAAGACGCTGCTCGACAACATCCGTCCCATATATTGAGATTATTGCGACCGCAATGAAGAGGTGAAAATAGGAAGTTCGGTAGCGAGCCCAGCATGCTTCCCAGATATGCAGCGCATCCGCCTCGCAAAATTCACGCTGTAACATAAGCTGTTTTGTATTTTACAATCCATTTATCTCGTGGGCCGCAACGTTTTTTAAATCTTTCATTTCTTTTATACATTTTTTCGGCTGGTTGTTCCTCTTCTGTCGTGTGCAGAGTCTTCCTTAGGATGAATGGGGCCTGGGAAAACGTATTTCGATGGAACAAGAAGCAAAATTTTGCCACGAAGTAGGCAATTTCTAAAGCTCGGCTCGGCTAGCCCTCGGCCGTCTCGGCTAGCCCTCGGCCGTCTCGGCTCCACCTCGACTGCACCTCGGCTGGCCCGGCAGCGGCACGAGTTGCCGGTTTATGGGCATTGTAGTGGGGGAGCAGGACGGGGGGCAGGGGGAGGGGGGAACAGGAGGAAGGTTGGGACGGGGGGGGACAAGGGGAACGGGGGGAGGTAGGGGCAGTGGGGAAGGATGAGAAAGAGGGAGATGGGGGGGAAGCGGGGAGAGGGAGGAGTAAGGATAGGGGAAGGTACAGGGAGGGGTGGGGGAGGGGGCTGCCGTGTGAGAATGGTGAGCGCTGGTCGGAGGCATTGGGGAAGGGATGCTGGGGTGAGTTGAGTGGGAAAAATGGCGTAGCCACGTAGGGGAGAGGGGGTGATGGGCGGATGGGAGAAGGATCCGTGTGCTGATTTTGCCGCAGATGCGCGGGGTATGGAAAGTGCTCGGGAGGGGATATACTACAGAGAGTATAGAAGGGGGAGGGGGAGAAGAGGACTGGCAATGCATGAACACACTTTTGGATGCTGCATTCGAGACGCGGGGAGAAGGCTGTGATAGCTCCGCATAAATGAGGTTGAAGTTGAAAAGGAAGTTAAATAGCGGCGCAGCCAACTTTTTTTAGAAAAAGGAAAAGTGTGTGAAAGAAATACTAATGGGAAAATCTGTAACTTTTTTGAACTAATGCGTTGGAAAATAATTTCTACTTTGTAATTTCTAAGTAGCTTCTCAGGTGTGAAATATTACTAGCAGATGCAGGCTGTAATGCACAGAAATGTCAGACTTACTGAGAAAATTGCTTGATCAAGGAATAAATTCTACTGCAGTGTATTTTGGAAAGGGAAAACACATCTTTATCATTAAGCCAGACACTGCAGTAGCCAATCTGTGTATCATTTCTTAAACCGATTCTGTATTAAGCTAAGCAGGGAACATGAAATCAAACCCTTCTACTCTTCGGTTCCAAATCTCACTCATTTCGTAGACTTTTTCGACAGCTGCATGGAGATGATGGTACCTGTACTGGCCACGTTTTGGCCGTGACCGTTTCCAGTCCGATTGACTTCCAATGCTGTTCACTGGACTACCGGTTGGCTTTTTCTCTTCCATACCAACATTTTTTATTTCGGGTGACCGCTGCCGCACAAATGGGGACCAGAGCGGTTTTTTGTTCTCAGGAACCGATGGACTGTGGTGCCGCTCACCATTCACTGCAATCATGAAACTGTTGATTATATAATACATGAACACCCAGGTGATTGGCTTGAAACCCTTTATGCTGTTGAGAAGTGATCAAGTCTTAGCCCTTAATATGTCAGGCCTCCATGTTCTGGGCGCCTTCTAGTCTGATAAATAAACGCAAGCTGTATTTTTTACAAACCCTCAGTGGTCCGTTGCCCCTCACAGACGCTACTCACTTGTAAATGGCGATGTTGACTGTTAATGATGCGAGCAATGTATCTTAATTAATCGATTTTGCTTTCTCTCCTGGTGACATTATCCTACATCCAGTTTAGTCAATCGAACGTATAATTTTTAATAGGTTTACAAAAGATTCACAAAGTATCGTTCGCCTTGTCACTCTTTCACTGAATATCCATCCGACGTATACGACCATGTTTTGAAATCATGCGCCATTTCTTTCAGTGCATTAGCAACAGAGGAAGTGAGTGTTGTCATTGCTTTAAAGCAGGCGTGGGTACCTTTGGCAATACGCGGGCCTGACTTACGTACTTACTTAAGCTCGCGAGCCTTTTAATAAACCCACGTAGCAAAGCACCAGGTTTGCCCATGTGTTTTTGCGCTAAACTTGACGCAGTCAGATCGTTGATAGTATGAATGGTTGTTGTTTTACAGTTTAACGCGTGCAATTCACGTGCCCGTATTTTGGTTTTTATGCGTTTTTTGCAGCAATGCAATGCGAAAAACGCATATTGACGAGAGGTTGTCT